CCCAGGCAAACATCCAGCTATACATGCAATCTCTGTGTGTGTACGTGGGGCCACGTTGTATTATTGCAAATATTAGTACAGAGTCCGCGAACGCGTTCAATTGTATATCGGTTTCCGCGTTCGCGTTACGCGGGCTTCTTTCGCGAAATGTATCGGTGAACCGTGTCCAATTAGGCGTTCGAAATGGTATCGACTTACGGTTACAGTTAGATACGGCGGAAATGAAACACGAGACACTTCTATCCTCCGCAAAATCTCCTGCCCTACGAAGCCACCCCTGTTAAGGGAGACGAGCCGAGGAAGAGTGGCAAACCGGAGGGAATCCGAATCGAAGTGAAACGAAAATAGGTGGCACGTGTGTCGGACGAGTTTTAAGCCGGCGCTATTCCAGTGGGCAAAGAGGAACGAAAGACGACGGGGGAAGTGGTTCTCTAGAGCAGTCTTTCGGTGTCCCTACTATAGTTAGTTTAGGTAGGCTCCTACCGTTATTTTTAGAAGTTTCGCGCCTTTTCGCAGTGGCTCACCGGCGATCTGGCCGCTCGCCAGTTTCGGAAAGATTCGTGCGTCTGGCCGGCGAGAGAGGAGAGAAGCCGGCACGATGAAGAAGAAACACGTGGAAGCTGCGTGTGTGGTTACGAACAGGCGAGAGAAGGATTTGCTGCATTCGTGCCCCACGTTACCTTACACACGAATGTGCGCGTGTTGGTACGTACGCGTCGGTGTGTATGTAACGCGACGTCGTCTCCCGTTTGGCTTCTTCCTCGTTCCTCGAGAGACTCTTTCCGCTTGGCCCCGTTTGCGGCTTTAAATGGACTGGACTCTCGCGACCCTCGTCGTCCGTTTAATTGATATTTCCAACGGTTGCTGTGTCGCGAGGTGGTTCGATCGCCCGGCTCTTTTTTTTATCGTATTCTTGTTCTTTGTTGAATTAGGAAGGACTAATTGGTCGTGGACGACGATAGCGATGAATCGAAAAGAGAAAGGTACATGGTATTTTTCTTGGTTTGCCGGGCATTAATTAAAAGTTCACGCTGCGATTGCAGCGGCCAGGTAAAGTGAAACCGGAAGACGTGGCGAGATATATTGCAGGCCGAGCGTGACGTGTTTCAAGATATTCTAACTAGGAATTTTTGTAATTTAAATCGACAACCAGCCGGCTGGCTGTCTGTGCGCGCGCGTGTGTTTTATATAACGAGATGTAATAATTGTAGCGAGTGATAAGAATCGACCAGGAGGGGGGAGGGTTTAATGAATCCAGACGAACGAATCGGATACGAGCGTCTGGTATGAAAGTGCGTCACGAAGAGAAAGAGAGACGGGAAGAATTATGACGGCTTGTTGGAATTAATTCGATTGTATTTGAAAGACACGAATTGGCGAACCCTTGCCCCGTTAGCGGGAAACGGGAGCCACTCTCTTTTGTTCTCGATTTCAGATTTCAGGTCAAGTTCGTTGCGCGCATGATCTCGTAACACGGCACACGCTCTCCATCCCTTTTTCCCACCTTTTCGCGCGAATAAAATTACCGGAATTAAACGAAATATCAACTGTGTACAAGTCCGGCGGGCATTAACATTGCCGCATGAAAGTGCAGCGATCGTAAAGTGAGCGGCTGCGAGTTTAGACGGGAGAAATGTTTCTAACCGTGAATCAGCTTCACGGTTCGAATCGACGATGAATTTCCCACCACCGGATTCCTTCATTAAAACTCGCCTGTTTCTCTCTCTTTCTCTCTCTCTCTCTCTCATAAAGAATCACACGAACGTATACGTCTTCTTGCAACATTGAGCGATACCTCGAGTATATTTATTAACCCTTTACGATCCGCGAGTGACTTTCACCGTTTCGTTCCAGCTAGTCCACACTCGTTTCGCCGCTCTCGGACGATATCGCGTAATTTGTTTATTTCAATCTTTAAACATTCGAACGTCACGTAAAAAATTGGAAAATGACGATACAGTTCTTGGGTCTGTAAAAAGAAATGCTATCTTTTTAAAAATTCACCAGCACCGACGATAAATAGGCAAAAATCATTAGCTCGACGTAGAACGGTACAGAGGGTTGAACGTCGTCGCGAAACGCGTGGACGTTTCGCGAAAGTCAATTGTAAACGTATTCGCGAGAGCAGAGAGAGAGCCCCGTTAATCGTAAATCGCCGGGCGAACGTAACCGGACCGGTAGACGCGAGGTTCCCTTGTCGTTGGAACGCGCGTCGAAATTGAGCGATTGTGTTCCGAACGCTGTCCTTGAGGAAAGAGTTACGATCCGTATCCGCGGCGGAGAGGAATCTGGACCAACCGGATTTCCACTGATTGTGCCAGACGCCATGGATGGCACAGTTTGCAGAAACGCCCACGGTGTCGTATGTCCCTTCGAACGCCTCCACAACGGCCACGTGGCTCCTAAAGGATATTACCACCGGCTATCGTTATGATACATCGACTGACTTTTTTGCACCCGGTTCTCCACCTATTGCCGAACTTGCACGATGGCTGACGCGGTGTTTAGTCATCGGCGAACTTCGTACTGGTTTTCACGGACGCCGAGTATCTTTCCAGATAAACGACACGTCCAGCGTATCCGGCAATGAGTTGATTCGAGAGTAGCTGTGGTTAGGGTCACCGACTGTCCGAGTAGTTTGGAACCACCCCCACGTCTTCGCGAGAAGCTCAAGTACTTTTGTGTGCTTTCGATGCGTGTGCATACATTTATGCCTCCTCCTCGTATCTCGTTATTTTCAGTTTCCGTATATTGAGGTTAAAATAACGAGAAACGAAGTCACGCTTCGACAGTTCATCCCGAGTGAGGCGCGGGCTAAATAAGGAAGAGTTCGACTCGAGAGAGACTTTTAGGAAGAAAGTTAGAAAGGGACGAGGTATTATTATCAGAACTGTGACGTAGTGCTTTGAAAATAATTACACGCGACGTAATTATTGAAAAGATACGTGTGAAATATGAACTTCGCCGACTCTAATTCGTAATTATATTAGACTGTCAAAGGGCTGTTGAGAAACAATGTCTCCCCAGAGAAGGGCAGAATATGCATAAATCTCGGGGAGGAAAGTAAGAAACTGATTTGTTGTTTCGTAACTATAGCACATCTTATTGCAAGGAAAATAAACTTGGGACACGATAAAACGAAATCGTAACGATAATTAGTCTAATTAGCAATGCGTAGGTTCTTCTCTATTTTCAATTAACTCAATTATTCGATTGTGTACGTATATACACGTACATATAACGTAGTTACATTATTCACGCACATAAATACCGTGAAACTGTAGCCACGTAACTCGCAGGGGCACACTGGTCGTTTCACTCTTCTCCCAAGTTCGTTGCGTACTTGAATTCTGTGCCACTGTTTCTCGTATGCAGCGGCAATTTCTGAGTAATTAGTTCACAGGAACGAATAATCGAAATCGCGTTGTTCGAGGGAGCACTGTATTCCCTACAAGACTATAATCGCGCAGTATAAGCGACGTTCGTCGAGGCACTCGTTCGACAGACTGGTAAACACCGACTGAGGACGTATCGTCCTGCCCGATTTCTGCACGCCGTTTACGCGCAGTTGGCTTAAGGAGAAACCTCAGGGGTGAGTCACCCCTCTCACGTGTGATATGGGTTTAACCTCTTGTCTCATAACATCGCGTGAGACTCGCGATACTTTTGCCACGCCAAACATAAGAAGCACGAGTCAGGGTCGTTGTACGTACATCGAGCCAAACATGAAGCTAACTGTCCTTTTCAGAGTGAAACTATCGCGGGTTGCTCTCGAGAGTATCTCAATCGAAATCGGTGACGAATTTCACACGAACGAATTCGTATTCACTCTTCCTCACCTTTCTTATTCGCCGCTGTAAGGAAAATTGTAAATGTATGCTAAATGTGTAAATTGATTCGAAATTTTTCAAGAAAAAAATCCGCGTATAATCGAGCATTGTAAGTTATTCACGCTTCTCTGCCATCGATTCGAATATTCGGCGGTACAGAGAACCGTGACAAGATCTCTTTGACCGGCCTTCACCCTGAATATAACAGAATAACCGAGATTGACCACAGAGCTATGCTTCTTTCGCCTCGATTGATTAACGACAATAATTAGTCGGTGTTCACGACTGACGATCATTTTTCCAGAAAGCAGAACCAATGAAAGATTTTACGTTATTCAACAATGTTGTCTCACACAGAACGTCTTCACAGTTCTTTGAAACTCGTGCTTATGAGATGCGCTCATGATTTTGCTTCTAGTTTTATTGAACTTTGGCTGGGGCAATAAGCTGGGTAATTAACTTTTTCCTGTTTATGTGTATTTTAATTAAACGCTTCGAGCAAATTGGTTTTCTTTCTCACGGGTCTGGAGTGCGTGTTTGCACATGATCTTATTAAAAGACGAGAAATCATTGCGAAACCTGTGGAAAAGATGTGAAGTCCATATCTGCGTCTCATTTTCAGTACCAGTTCGCTTTACTGAATCCATTTTGAACTTCACCACACGCGCAATTTTATTGCCTCGCAAATTGCAACGATTAAAAATACAATTAACCCTTTCGCTACGCTCATCTCTGCTTAGAAAGAAAAAAGAAAATGAAACTGTTTCGGTGGTAATACTTTTGTTCATTTATGTATCGACTAATCTGATCGAATAAACAAGCGTAAGTAAAATAATTTTGTCGATAAAATTTTCAAACAAGCCCACTTAAAATTTCTATCGAATACCTGCTATTTTAAAATGTGAATGCTACATGCCAGCTAACTACAGTTGCTCCGTAGCATCTAGTCGTAGCGAAAGGGTTAACACGATGTAACGTCGTTCTCCCTTATCAAAGCATTTACAATGAACACACAGGAGAGTAAACTGTGTTCTCCGATGTATCCCGTGAAAACACCCAAAAAAATACACATTTCAATTCGCAATCAGACGGTTCGAAATCACAGACACTACCTTCGTTGCGATCGACATCGAACAACCGTAAAGTTTCCCTCTGTTCTCGTTGTTACAGAGGAGGAAGAGATCGACGTGGTGACCTTCGAGAAGCCGTGCAGACCAGCAGCGTTACCAACGTACCCGAGCCTCGCCGACCAGCAGCACTTCCAGCTAACAGTAAACACAGCGTTCAAAGAGAAGGCACCTGGGCCGAGACCGCGCGGCAGACCTCCGTCGAATCCAGCTCGAAAGAGGGCCGCGCAGCCTGAACACAAACCGGCGAAACGAGCACGTCACAGAACCTATCAGAGACGGAACAAAGTTGGACGAAGCAGCATGACAGTGTCGTCGTCGCCGTCGATAAGGATCAACGTGTCTCCGCCTACGATTAAAATGACGACAGCCACCGCCTCGAGAAGCTCGTCGGACGACGAGCTGGACACGGAGAAGAGGAGTTTGCACAACAACATGGAACGTCAGAGGCGGATAGAGCTGCGGAACGCTTTCGAAGAGCTGCGCGTTCTCGTGCCGGCTGTCGAGTCGAAGGAGAAGGCACCTAAAGTAGCGATCCTTAGGCAATCGGCGGTCTACTGTGATATGTTAACAGAGATCGGACAGATCACCGTGGCGAAGGTGACGGATCTGAGGCGGCGGCAGGAGAAGCTCCGAGCAAGGCTCAGTCAGCTAAGGAGGAGTCTCGCCATGACGCGTTGAGGGAGAGACTCGGAAGAATCATGTCAGATTCAGCCGATCAACACGCGAAAGCAACTGCATACATTGCTCGGTACTACGTTCGAGAGTCGAATTTGTAACGAAGAGGATCGGCTTCAAATCTCCACGCTCGATGTATCGAGACGAGACGATTTTCGAATGTGCTCTTGTGCGCGAACGAGGACCACCTACGCCTGGTCGACTGTCTTCGGTCGCACGTCACAAGGGAATAGAGGAAGAACTACTTCGAAGAGCGCGTCGAGGGATATAGAAGAGAGAGAGAGAGAGAGAGAGGGTTGTTGGAAGAGAACGGAGAGGGCTTGGTCCGACGATCGAGAAGAGAAGCGCTTTTATGTCGCGGTTCTGTGATTCACGAATTCGATTGGGAGATTCGCGAAACTGTGGCCGGATTGCTATATTATGGGTGAACCGAATCTTTCGAAATCTGTTACCGTAGGAGAAAAAAGGAAATAAATATATGCACGTATGTAGAGAAGGAAGAAGAGAGGGAAAACCGAGTTTCGTTTGTTTCGAAGAAAAAAAGAGGAGCGTCGAGGAATCGACGACACAAACCGCATGCACCGAACGCATACCGAGGACAGAGTACCATACGGGCGCCAAACGTTAGAAGAAATCGAGGAGACCGATGAAAAAGAGCTTTGAAGATGATATTTATATATGTATATTTGTAGAAGAGATTCTTCGAGCGGCAAGCTGGAAAACGAGAAGAGGGGAATTAATTTGGATCGCTTTGGCCGAGTTCACTGAGAGAGAGAGAGAGGTATCTGTAAGGACGCAAAACTGGGTTCAGCTAGTTTCGAGAGAAATGATATTGACCATATTAGGTTCCGAATTGTTCTTTTTTTTTTTTTTTGTTACTGTTCGTTTCTTTTTTCTTTTGTTTTTAACACGCGTAACCAATATTATCACGGTAAAATACGGCGCTGCGAGGAAAGAGAGGAAACACGAGGCTGAATCGCGGTCGAAAAATGTCAATTCTATTTTTTATTTCGATTCTCGATCAGTGTCATCTTATCGCGTAGATTATCGACTAAGACCGGTTTCCGTCGAGCTTGGAAATGTGGCGACGTATATGTATATGTTTTAGGAAAAAAATATGTTTCAAGGCAATAGAAACGATATTCGAAGCGTTCGATGAGATCGAGAGACGACCGCACCAGAAACTAATCGCTATTTATCGTGCATTTTTCGTGCATTGTTGCACAATACAGCACGCGCGTACACGTACACACACACACAGAGACTTGCATTTAGATTATTATGTCGTGACTAATCCTCAGTTGGAAAGTCGAAATGAAAAGAAGGATCGAGAGGACGATTATAGAGAAATCTTCGACGATTCTGACTCGGCTCGAAACCGCGCGACCGATCTCATCGCCGTTTCGAATTTCCCGCGTCGAAGCGCCGCGATACCCATGGGGGAAAACGAGACTTATCACTGAACGTTGCCCGCGACGTTACGCTATCACCAGTTCCCAGCTAACTGGTCTTAGGGTGTGTATTTCAGGGCTGAACCGGTTTCCTACGTGTTTCTTTCATTTGCAGAGAAAACGAACGGGGGAAAAAAGGAAATGGAAAGAGACAGCGCGGTTCTTTTTCCAAAACTTGTATCGATAAGAAGCAACGAAGAGGAGAAAGAAAGTGCTACCGGAGGCTTGCTTTTCGCATTAATGAATTTGTATCGAACACTAAAACTAGACGAATCGGTATTCACGTTCGACAAGGTTGTCTGTGCTTGTTGAACACATCGTGTTTCTCGTTGAACGATCACCGTAGTAATAGTTCGGTCGAATCGAATTTTCCTCGGTTCATCGGACAAGTTTTGAAAATTGAACGAGGTGTAGTTATGTGAACCGTTCGAAAGAAACGTATATTCCTCGCAGTTTTTCACCGAGTCTGAAATATTTCGGGAACTAGAAACTTGCCGCATTTCGTTGCAATTAACACAGATCCGAAAAATCGACCAGCACACCGTTCCTTCCCGGAAGTAACAATCGTGTGTCTTCTTTATTCGAAACTTTCGTCAAATCGAAGAACACGTTCCGTTCGATCCACGCCGCAGAAAGGTGATTCGTGGGTGGGGGGGAAAAAAAAAGAACGCGTCCGATAATGCCATTTAGCAGCGCGAAAAGAAGAAAAAAAGAAGAAGAATACACGGGTGACTGGCTGCGATGAAGCAACAATACCTATTCACAAATCTCTTCCTTATCGAATTCCATTGTTTTCTCCATTGCAATCTCGCGCGACTTTTATTTGTTCTTAGGCGGCCTCGCTAGTAGTAGTTGTTCACCGACCGATTGATGATCGCTGTGCGATCTTTACGTTCCGAACGTGTCACGCCTTCGATAGCATGATCCAATGCGTCTATAGTAGAGTGGCTGTATTCTGGGAATCCTGTAAGTAGGTGAGAGAGCGTTATGAGTCAGAACGTGTAGGTAGAGAGAAACAGTTTTGCATCTAGTACACACGCAAACATACGTAAAACAGAGAGGTATTTCTCGCCTTCTTCTTCGCGTTTCCGTTTCCTTCCTTCTGCCGGTTTCTCGCGCGCGGAGAGAAACGCGTCCCGGGCGATCGAGAAAACGCTCCTCGATCCTCCTCTCGCGGCTGCATGAATATTCCTACTTCTGTGTATACACGCGTCCGTGCGTACGTGTATACTTTTTCTTCTTCTTAAAACGGGTGCAATAAGGGACGTCGCGAAACGAGCCTCCGTGGGGCAGATCGTTATTTTTGTTATTGAACGATCTCATCGGGGAAAGAACGCGGCTCGGCGAAGGAAGGGGACGGACAGAGCACCGAAGAAAATCTAATACGGTGTCTTTGTTTTTTTTTTTTTTCTATTATTTCGCGTTACTTCGCAACGCGAACGATCTTGATAAACGAAGCTCTTCTTCCCGACGCGTTATACGGAACTCGCGGAATTGGGAGAGGAAAGAGAGATGTCGTGATGTGTATAAACGCGAGAGAAATAATTCACACACCACCGACTTGGTATCTTCTTTGGCTTTTTTTTAGTTCGTTTTTCTTTTTTCTGTTCTTTTCGTTGGTCACGCGGTATACGTTCGCGAAGTGGGGTGATGAACACACGCTGTTTTGAACACGCGCCGCGAGGGCCCTGGTTACGCTTTTAATCGCGTGTAAATAAATGTATATATATATACACACGGACACACATATGTATATATACATTTTTTTTAATTTATAGGATGATACATATATATATATATATACACGCATACGTAAACATGCAAGCGTATATGCATATATATTGCGAATTTATATAGAAGAGGAAAAACGCGTGTGTGAATATGTGTGTGTGAAAGAACGAACGGGGGGTTGGGGGGGGGCATGGAAAGGAGGGAAGTTATAAACGCTACTAATTATTGACTTTAATATAATTATTACGATTAGTTATTATTGGTATGTCTTATTATCACCATTACAATAACTATTATTATTGTTACGAGTTTTAGTTAACCCTGGCATCTCGATGCTACGATATATAAAGAAAATAATGATAATAACGATGATAATTACTTAGGGTGAAAAGAAGAAGGGAAACCTTTGTCATCGGCGAGAAAATTAGAGGCGCGCGCACGCGATCTATGGTTTCTGTATTTCGCTAATTAACAACGGTTTAAAAGGATCGATGAAAGATGAATAAAACGAAAGGATATATATTACGGTAGGGATTATATTATATTACTGATAAAAACGAAAAATATATATATATATATACATACTGTAATTAGACGGAAGAGAAAATGAGAAATAGACGGATAAAAGTAACAATAATGATAATGATAAATACGCAGACGTGCTTGTGGAGGAGGGAAATAAAACAAAAACAAAAAAAACGTCGTCGTCGCGGCCGATTGCGGAAATTTACCGGAAAAAAGAGACGCGTAGAAGAGGTGGTAAAAGCGAGCGCGCGGTGCTCTCGCGGGTAAGGGGGAGATATAAAAAGAAGGAAAAATGGAAAAAGGCAAAACAATGTGTTCATTACATTTGTAGGTAACAGTATTCATTTATACACACTTTTTACGGACTATATTGAAGGAAACATGAAATGGTAAAAAAGAAAATATGATAATGAGGAAACGATATCAGAAAAAAAAAATATATATATATATATATATATACAGCAACAACTTGAAAGGGAACGACCTTTTCGGGGGACATAAAAGCTTTCTCACATACATACATACATACGTACACATCAGTTTTACCTACACCTATACCTACATACACGCGACACGTACATACAAATTTGTTAAAGAGCACACTTTCGCGGTACGGTTGTGCAAGGAGTGAACGGACACACACATACACGTACGCACGAAGAGAGAAAAAGGGGGTTGTTGGTATGGAGAGAGAGAGAAAACACGGTCTTTCCAACAATACCGGACGAAAATTAAAGAGGGATTGGAAAGTCGCGAACGTTTGAGTGGCTCTCTCGATGGGAGAGTACGGAGGGGAAGAACCGATTGACCAACACACGACGGACGCGTACGAAATGCAGAGGCTAGGCGCGCAAAGAGATCGTCCTTCTCTCTGGGAAAATCGACACGCCAGGATCGAAAGCAGCGTGCACGTGCATCCGGAAATAATGTCTCGACACGCGTGTTAGTGTGTGTGTGTCTCTATTCGTCATTCCTCGCGGACGTGTTGTACACGCTTGTCCCTGCTTGCACACCGACACACACACACACACCTATATGTTACCATGTACATCAGCAACATATATACGTACGCACGGAGAGATCGCATACAATACACACGATAATGACATACATACACATAGACACAAGTTAATTAAAGACTAACTGAGGACACGACTTGAAACCTGAATCGCAACCCAAGTGCTTCGAATTTATATAGGTACATATTAATCGCAGTAATAGTGCAGTTCGGAACACGGGTGGAACATGTTTTTTCGGGTAGCGTTTTTGAGCAGGGAGGGCAGAGAGTTGAGATTTTCTCAATGGGAACACGTTTGAAAAGTTCGTTCGGCGAGATATAGGGGGGTTAGTCGAAGGGCCTTAAACATGGAAATCTGTTCTTTCTTTGGTTCCACGAGCGGTCGAATCGCGTATTCGACGTCTTTTTCATCGTTATTCCCGATGTACACAGAGGGTAAAAAGAAAAGAGGTCCTTGGCGCGTTATCCTTTAAAAAACGTTTTTCCGAGACACGAGTACCGAGAAGCAAGTAGGTACACGTAGCAAAGAGTACCGC